TTTATTGTCCTTAACCTCCTGATTGTTGATTTGGTGATTAAATAAGGTCATAAACTTCTGTAATCATTTGTGGGGAAGAGGGATAACAACATATATAAATGTGTATTATTACTATGCATTAAGGTGGTTTTTTTAAAAAAAAATGCTATGGGCACGAAGTTCACCAGACACTTCTCTTATCATCTGCTGCATCCTATTTATTGCTTTGAAATAATCTTGCCATGCCACTATTTTATATAAATGAAGCTGTGTTATGTTACCAAAAGAATCTGGTGGCACAGTAGTTAAACACTGTACTGCAGCTACTCACTCACAAACCACAAGCTTGTGAGTTCAATACCAGCCAGGGCTCAGCCTCGACTCAGGCTTGCATCCTTCCAAGGTTGCTAAAATGAGTACCCAGCTTGTTGGAGGCTAACAGTTGTAAACCGCTTAGAGACAGCATAGTGTGGTATGAAGTGGTATATAAATGAAACTGCTATTGCTATTGCTATATGTGTCTCTTAAAAAGCAGAAGATAGGATGACAAATTGATATTAATTTCTCTAGTGGAATGAGATCAGTGTTCTGATACAATCTAAACTTATATCAGTGATAATACAAATGAAAAATGTTGTGGAAAGGCAGGTCTGCAGTTGGTATAACAACCCAGCTAATCAGGCCCAAGTATCTATATCTTGTCCAACATCCAAGTTCTGCTGTGGTCAGGCTTAGGACCCAGAACAGCCCACTAGAAGCAGAACCTAAAGGCCTCTATCCAAAGTTCCTTTCTGTTGCTTACTGTAATGCTTGATAAAGTAATCCTTCACCATTACTTGTTGCAGTGAAAGGGGACATCGCTTGATGCTGATACAGTAGACCCTTGACATCTGCTGAGGTTTGGTTTCGGGACCACCCTATGGGTACCAAAATCTGTGGATGCTCAATTACCACTATATACAATGGAGTAGTAAAATGATGTCCCTTATAGAAAATGAAAAAAATCAAGATTGTTTTTTGAAATGTATATATGATTTACATATTTTAAAGCTGTGGATGGCTGAATTTTAAAGCTGTGGATGGCTGAACTGTACAATGGGACCTCAGTATTTGTGGACTTGCCATCTGCAGAGTTGAGCATCCATGGACAGCAACCTCACATTTCCCCAATGGCGGCATGTGCACATAGCTGTGCCACCACTAGGGACAGTCCCACTGTCCCCAGTGGCAGCGCATACATGCAGCTGCAGCACCATTGGAGACAACAGAACTTGAGCATCTGCAGATTTTGGTATCCATGGGGGGGGGTCTGGAATGGAACCTCCATAGATACTGAGAGCCCACCATATGTTGTTTTCTATTACAGAAAGCTTTCTGTATCCATGGATTCCGCCTCCACAGATTCAACCAGCCAAAACTTGTAATACTTTTTTTTTTAAAAAATCCCCAAAACATTGATTTGAAACAGTTTGGGCCATTTTCTTAGTTTATTTAGGGTTAAATGCCATCTATATGAGATCCAGAGTGATAGAATGGTTTGAGCATAGGACTCTAGAGATTGGGGTATGATTTCGTGCTTGGCCCTGGAAACTCACTGGGTGACCTTGGGTGGGTCACATACTCTCAGCACTAGAAAATCCAGTGATAGGTTCATCATAGGGTTGCCCTAAGTTGGAAATGACTTGAAAATGACACAACAATCATCTATGCAGTACATAATCTAATATAGGTTTTCTTTAAAATTACTGCACAATGTAAATTTTATTTTTTCCACATATCCACATGGGCACTATGCCCCAAATATTGGGCCCACTTTATCATGTACTCTTTTACTGGCTCATCGTTCTCCAGTTTCAGAAGCCATTTATACTCTTTTTACAGTCTCAGAAAGAATAAGACTTTGTGACATTTTACTTCCCCTGCCTGATGTGGAGATAGGTTGCATGCTGCAATTGTTTCATTTTTGTTGACAAGAGAAATACCTATCATATTCATAGTTCTGAATCATCTTTAAGTTTTTAAACATTATTGTTAATTACTGATTTTCTAAAGAACTGCTTTGATTTCTGATACACTAAAATGTAAAAAAAATGATGCATATTTACAAGCAGACACATTGTGATGAGATGTGTTCAATATTATACTACATATTTAAAAACTACACAAAAAAGCTAAATACTAAATTGGAAGGAAAGAGAGAATTCTTGTTTACAACAATATGATGAAAGAGGCAACTAAGGGGTCATGCAGATGGGGCAAAAAGAGTGGCCGGAGGCTGCTCACACCCTGATCGGCATGGAACTACCGCGACCGCACTGACCCAGTCCAGATCTAGGCTGCTGCCACAATCCCAAAAAGGATTCTGGCGAAGAGTGGAGTTTCCCCACTACTTTTGCAGCTGGCTTTTCCTGGCTGGGCATGCTCTCCACACAGGTTCTGGCCATGTTTGGGGCATTCGTCATCTAAACGCCACAACCCCAAAGTGGCCAGAAGCCAGCACTTTTGGCTTGTTTACTTTGGGCCAAAGGCAACTAGATAGACCAGAATCTATTTTTTTCTAATTAGTGCATGGCAAGCCATGAGTCGAGATCAATTTGAAGACAGTTAACAACAAGTTGCTGCACTTAACACAATGTCTTCTTCTACATAAATATTAAAAGTAGTGTTGAGGAACAAGTGGGCCTCTACATGTTGCCAGATTGCAGCTCCCATAATCCTTTCCCATTCCCTGGTGATAGAAATTGCAGCCCAGAAACATATGGAAGGTCACGTATCTCTCCAGCTCTTGTTAAAGGAGTAGGATGCCTGTCATCTCCTGTTTGTACTAGTTCACCAGTTAATACATGATTTTAAAAATATGACCATCCGCTATTTCCTTCCATCATACAATAAACATCCTTTTCTGATACAGCATAAACATATCCTGGCTGTTGCTTCACAATTCTCTTTTATTTACCAGAGCTGTTGGTTTTGAATTTTATGTGAGTAGACAGCTGCAAGTAATTGCAGTTTTCCATTTTATCAAAACCAATCAAGGTCCTGATCTTGGATCTGCATATGGAAAGTCTTAATTTGAAGCTTGAAAACATTTTTATTCAAGTCTGTCAGTGTTTTTCTCTCTCTGTGTCTCTCTGCATGTACGTGTGTCTTTCTTTTTCACATTTATCTTCTTTATACTTTTCATGTGTTCTAACTTCCTTACTGAAATGTATATAGAATTATCCTAAATGTTTTTACTTTCTCAAATACCTTCACACCCATCTGTTATCATGAAAAGAAACAAAGATCTTGGAAAACAAGGGTGTTGGACTGCAACTCCCAACTAGCCATGTTGGCTGGGAAATTGCAGTCCAAAATGTAATATTTTCAAGTTCTAGAAATAGCTAATTCCCACAAATGTGAGCATGCTTCAGTGCCTTATGACTGGAAGAGTCACAGCCTGATTTGAGGTAATGCTGAACAGTCCAAAGATCTGGTTCTGATGACTATATTGTGATGGCTGTGTTATATACTGAAGCAGAGATAGATAAACTCTCCCAGGTTCATACTGGCATAGAATAAAAAAATGCAAGCAAGAGTATTCTGAGCCAAGCAATTACAAACTCTGGTGACATTTAGATGTTCAAGCCATCTCTTGATGAAGGCCATCTGGAAATGAGTCTTCCTGCTTGTATTATCCATCCAGTCTTCCCATTAGGCTCAGAAAGGCGAGAGAAGAAAAGCTGGAGCATCAACAGTGCTCATGAGAACCACATGAACACCCTTCAGTTATGTTCCTGAACTATGTTTTAGCACACATTTACTTTGTAAACTGTTTTCCTTAGGGAGCTATAAAGTGAGATATAAATGCTCTAAATAAGTAAATTCGGCTCCACACAGGATCTGTTTTGCTGAACAACAGGAAGTAACTAGAATAGCACTATCCTAACAAGTCTAGAGATATGCGAAGAGATATTGTAGCACATTTGGAACTGTGTGAAGTAAATTGTATCATAAGCGTTCATAGATTTAAATCTTATGATGACTCCATGCATCTGAGGAAGTAGACTCAAGTCTATGGAAGCTTATGCTACAACTTATTCTGCACTCTGAATCTCAAAGATGCTACAAGATCGCTCTGTATACTGATATTCGAAAGCTATAAAACACAAATAAATTACTTGGTCATTAAATGAACACATACTGTGTTACTTGGTCCATTCTTATAGGTAATATATTGTTAAAGATAACATATCAATATTTTGTTTGCCTTGGCCACTTTGTCCTCAGTGCAATCTATATAATGATATAACTTCAAAAGCAAATATTCATGGAAATGAATGTTGTTATAGAAAAAATACTGTGTGTAAGATGAATTATAACTCCCAAGCCTTCTGAAATAGCTAAGAATGGCATCTACATTCACAGTCAATAAAATATGCCACCATAAACACATTTAATCACTAATGTTTTCTCCAACCCCCTCCATTGTCTGATTATGGAAGTTTATGCGACTGACAGTATTCTACCCTTGAGATTCCTTTGATGCCTCTGTAAAGTAGCATCTTGTAAATTATTTATTGCAAAACATCTGGATTAAATAAATCCAGACAAGGGGAAGTATTATGTATGGAAGCCAAATCATGCTCTCAGCTCATTAATACAAGTAGCTCAATTCCAGAGTTATTTGTGTGACGCAAGTATTAAGCAGATAGTACAGACTTGGGTCATCAAAGCTAGTGACATCATTAATATCAGGATTAGTTATATGTTCTTAATTAAACATATGTTTTGTCCCAAAGAGGTGTGACAAAAGCATATCAAAACACTGTAACAGGATATCTTCTGAGAAAACCTCTAGTACATGTTTACAAATGTATACACTCTATTATACATGAAAAGTTTAGGAAATCTACTAATGACTATTGTTGGTTCTGTGGGGTTGCTGTCATGTGCCTTCAAGTCATTTCAACCTTATGGTGACTCTAAGGTGAACCTATTACAAGTTTTTCTTGGGAAGATTTGTTCAGAGGGGTTTTCCATGGCTGCGCAGGGATTCAAACCCTGATCTCCAGAGTCATAGTGCAATGCTCGAACCACTGCACCACACTGCTCTCAATCCTTCTTCTAGCCTATCCAAATTTAAAGAACAGAAACACTACATAGCTATGACAGCATCTCATACCAATGTGTGAGATTTTCTAGAATAAAAGTGAAAAAGTGTGTTAACTAAGCACCAAACAGAAGAATCCCAAATAACTTCTGAACTGTAATATATCAGATATATTTAGTTGCTCTATATTTAGTCACTCTCTCAGGTTCAAGAAAGGTAAAGACAACCCCCCTCTGGAAAAAAAAAATGCCAAGAAAATTCTGTGATAGGTTTGCCTTAGGGCAGTGATGGCAAACCTATGACATGCGTGCCAGCACTGACACGCATAGCCATTTTTGATGATACGCGGCCGCTAAGGAGGCTGCATGCCAAAAAGGATGTTTCATCCTTGGCTCCTGCATGGCCAAGTGCAGTAGCCGAG